TCGTCGGGTCTCCTGAAGTCCTATCACATCACAGCCGGTCGCGGAACAAATCTGCGTGACCGTCATCACGCTGTGACCGATGGGGTTCCTACCGCTGTCGGCGAGTGTGCGTACGTTGAACGTGCCGAACGATAGATCGCCCTCACGTGCCTTCTTCTTCGCAGCCACCTTGACGGCCGCTGCGGTCTCGTGTCTCTCCCGGTCCACCTCGCATTGCGGGTGTGCTTTCTTACGTATTTTCCGAGCGGCGACTTTCCTCGCATCAATCCATCTCTGCAGAGCTCGGTTCTTGCCTGTTGTGTTTCGACGAGGAGGGTGCAGCACTCCCTCCCCACGGTGCCCGCGGTTGTCTCCCTTCTCCCGCGAGCGGTGCTTACTGACGTGGTGTTTACGAATCTCTCTACTCCTCCAGCTTTGTGGGCCACGCTTTCCGCGACGGTGGTTGCCAGGTGCAGTTTGCCGCTTTGCATTACTGCCGCGGGAACAGTGTCCATACACACCTCTCGCCACTACCACCGTCTGTGCATCCTCACCGCCACGCCGGCGCGGCGGTGAGTTGCACCTTGGGACACCACCCGCCTACTATCTGTTGTGGCCTGGTTCGCCCGCGAGGGACTCACTAGGTCGGTTTCGGCCCCGGCCGGGGAGCAGGCCGAGGGGGAAGGGTATGTAAGAACTGCGTAGGAAACAGCCTCAATAAAGCGAAAAGAAGTTTAAGCGCTGAACCAGATTTGAACTGGTGACCTATTGAGCTGCAATCAATTGCTCTATCCCTGAGCTATCAGCGCATTTGCGCATGAGGAGTATAGGGTTAGGGATTTGGTGTCTTCCAGTGACTGCATTTGCTTGTCCGATGCCGCGTCGCCAAAGTTGAGCCCCCGTTGTTACAGACTTCCGTAGTTTCTTGAGATGTCTTTTACCCTTGCATTCTGAGCACGATGAACGGTAGGCCGATCCCAGGGCACCGGAATAGAGAGCAGCAACGGCAACCAAGCAGCCAGCTGTAAAAGGCAGCTGCTGGCTGGGGAACGGTGCCAGAACGAATGTTGAGAACGGCAAAAAAGAAAGCGCTGAACCAGATTTGAACTGGTGACCTATTGAGCTGCAATCAATTGCTCTACCCCTGAGCTATCAGCGCTTGCGCACTTACGTTGGCCAGTACATCTTAACCTATGTTGAACGCATCCCATGCCTGTCCCCAAGACGTGCCATCGACATTAGCATGAGCAGCTGTTGACAGGTTTTGGTCTCACCGGCGAAAGAAATAATTATCGTGTGTTGGTATTCATTCGGTGTGTTTCCTTGGCGCCCGCTACTGAGAGCGATTTCTCATCCAATGCCGCGTCGCCAAAGTTGAGCCTCCGCTGCGCACGAACTTCTGTAGTAGCTCCTTTCTAGATGGCCGGCGACGGGGTGCTGATTTAGTGTCCCATGGTTTACCGAGTGTTTACCAGTTCCACCTTCTGTTGCATTGGAGGAAGCACGGAGCCAAAGAATGATGAGAGAATTGGAGAGAGTAGCCAAAAGAGTCGAGGGTACCCCTCGCCAATCGGCGGAAACTTTGGCAAATGGATTATGTAGAAGACGCTTTATTACTTGCCCCCCGCGCTAACCCCAGCGTTGCCACGCACCCCTCGCATCCTACTTCCTGCGCGGGTGCTCATGCCGATACATGGTGGCGCACGAAACGGAAATGTAGAGTATCAAGATGGTGACGAAGCAGAGTCCTGCCGGATCGTTCGACTTGTACATCACTCGTTTCGTGGACGAGGATGGAAACACGCTGCTCTCCGCAATGCTGCACGGCGTGGATGGCGCGTACGAGCCTGGGGCCGCCGACTACTGGGAGAAGCTGAGGAAGACCTTCGGAGAGGACCAAATCGTTGCGTAGATTCCGTTTACTGGCGGGTTTTTCCCGAAATAGGGGTAGAGAAGGCGGTGCAGATTGCGGGCAGGCTCTTGTACCTTGACGGGCTTGGGAAGCGCAGGGTGTGGGTAGAGAAGATCTTCCTGATGCCGCTGCATAGTTTCGACGAACCGATATTGCTGTCCGCCGCATGAGATCACCTCGGAAGCTCAATCTCTTGGAGATGTTGGGCGGTGCGCGACAGAAGCAATAGTTGATGTACCATTTTGAGGACAACTCTGCATGGCAAAGCGCTGGTGATTATTGCCACCATTTTTTTGCAGGAAAACGCTTGAGTATCAAGCCCATCGCTGGGTGGGTATCATGATGTTTTTGTTTGCCAAGCAACCTTTCTTTTCGTGTAGTGACGTGTCGTACGATTTCAACGTATAAGTGCTACCAGCAAAGACAGTGCTCACAACACCAGATATGGCATTCCGGCGAATGTGTTTGTATGTGTTCGTCCCATCCTTTCCGGCGCCTACCAATTCGGTATATGAGTTTGACGTATCAGCCGGGGTCACACAGGAGCTCTCGAACGAGAAAGGGGCCTTCGATCCCTCGAGAAAGTAGGCATATTGGTATGGTAGCTATCACACCCGGAGTAGCTCGCGACAAATGCGAACGAAAGAAAGCAAGGACAGCCGGCTGGCGGCGCTTCGGGGTTGAGCTCTTTCGCAGCAACAAGGGGCTTGACATGCTTGGTTCCAAGACTTTTGACGTGAATGCCCTCGAGTTCGAAATAGAGCAAACGAAACCAGAGCCGACACCCTAGACAAACCGTGTGTCACGCTGCAGGTTGGGATGTATACGTAGGCCACTCTGAGGAAGCGGCATGGTGAAGCCGTGAATACTTATCCCCAGTTTTTGCTTCGGCACCAACCCCAGCTTCGAGCAGTACATGAAAGGCGCCGCCGTTGTTGCCGACAGGCCGGGTAACCTCAGCAAGAATAAGCAGCGCTGTATAGCGTTCGTCAACCGTGGCCTCAACATATCTTCGGTATTTTTTACGGTGTAGCGGGTTCGCGACACGTCCAAATAACCAGTGTTCGCGGTGAGGATTCGGGTGCGAATAAGCCGGAGGCAGCAAGCAAGCCTTTAGACCAATCCCACGGGGTCTTATTATTGCCCTTTGGCAATGCTGAGGGAGGTTCGCCCCCCGACCTCCACGCGAACCCCTGCCGGATCCACCCAGCAACACCTTGGAGCAGAGAACGCTGAACGGATCCACCACCAACGCTAGCTTCACCGCGATATCTTTGTGCAACAATGGTTCTGGAATAAACCCTCTCAGGTTTGCACTCGGCCCTTTGATTGGTCTGAGGTGACGTGCGCGCAGATGCATGGATGAAACAAACTATCGCCGTCTTCTCCCCCATAGAGACGTTCTGAAGGCCGCTTCAACAATGCCGTTAGGCAACAGCACCCGTTTACCTTCTACACCACAACTTTGTCGTCACCAAGCCTAAGTCGCTTCCTTTTCTCGCCCTACTCCCAGCGAATCATCGCCTGTCCATTCAGTGGAAGGAAGCATAGTTGGTGAGGAGGGGCTTCAGGTAGATGGTCTGACGTTGCCGCCTCTCCTCACTTCAACGCGTCGTCCAATAGCACTGCGCCGACCACCTCCGGCTCGTGAGCATCCACTAGTATCTAAACGCGACACGGGGGGGGGCAGCAACGGTGGGGTGATTGGGGTGACAAACGACAGGAGGGTCACCTAGCGGCGCATGAACAAAAGTAGTAGCGCACCAATGGACCCCTTCTTGGTCATTCGACGTTCCTACGAAGCCTGCGAATCGACTCGACCCCGAAGTTACACTAGCGACGGCTGGGGTCCACATGCAAGGAACGGAATCTTGACAAGTCACGCATCCTGGCGCTGCAATGCAGTTGCCCACACATAAGAGTTGAGTAGTCGTGAGGCATGATTCGGTTGTTCAACATGAGTGCTGCTCGGCGTAGGATGCGCCACGCGTGTGCGACGCCAAACGACTCACACACGCACACACGATAAATCTGGAACGACCAGTCGCGTCTACCTTCGCTTGCCGTCATGACTTCTCCTGACACAAACAAAAGTCTACCCGGACGAAATGCCCCCCTCCCGTTTACTGATAAGTGGAGATTGTCTGCCAACGTTAAGAAGAGTGCCGTCATGGTATGCAAAGAGAACAAGGAGGAACCAGTAGAACATAGCTGGAAGTGGGGGATCGAGGAGATTGCAGTAGTGAACCAGNAGTATGGGAAGGAAATAAGAAGGTGGTGAAAGAGCTCGAGGCGGCGCAGATGAAAGCAGCGAAAATCATCCTAGGATGCTCCAAGCGCACAAGTAATGCAGCCGTGAGGGCAGAATTGGGGATCCAATCCCTACTGTCGGGAAGAGACGCGAGGAAGCGACATGGCAGTATCGCATGTGCGGGGTGGGAGAGGAGAGGTTGCCGAGAATTGTATGGGAGGCGAAGTGGGCAAACAAGAAGAGGGGTAGATAATCCACGGAATGGGTTAAGGTTGTAGAGGACGTACGGAAGGGGCTCGACGTCGACGAAGATGAAACGCTGGAAACGGAGGGTTTACAGGGGTTCAAGGAGGAGATATCTGTTGCTTTTGCCGAGAGAGAAGAACAGAATCTAAGGAAAGAATCCCAGGATAAGGAGGGTCTAGAAGTGTACGGAATGTTGAAGGAAGGAATAGGGTTCAAGGACTACCTACTTGGACCAATGGATGCAGGAACAAAGCGTAGGGTCAAATTCAGGACCGGGGACATAGGCCTTCGAGAACGTCGACGATGACATAGGACGGTAGACGACGAAGACGACGAGTTCAAACGGATTGCGGCTTCGAATGCGAAGACCGTGTTCATGTAGTCGCGGAATGTCCGCGGTACAAGAAGAAGAGGGAAGTGTACGTGACTGAGCTGGGAAAAACAGATGGGGCGTACAGGGATATGTTTGAGGCATGAAATAGAGAGGAAAGGACGGTAGCTGTACTGGGGCATAGGAGGTGGGTTGAAAAGGCGGGAAGAGATATCGTTAGGATAGACAGACTAGGGAAGACATTTTTGAGCCACCTTTGGTAAAGAAGAAGGGAAAGATTGGCCATCGGTGATCGGTCCTGCGGGAACAATGCTCCGTCCTCTCGAGGACNAGACCCCCCCCCCCCCCCCCCCCGAACACGTACAGTATCCCCTCTCAGCAACGACCAACACGGACACACACCCACATCGCACCGACCCTTCGGTCGCCCCTCACCTCTTCCCCGAGAGCGACACCAGCCGCCAACCGCGAATCGACGGCACCTCCCTGCCCGAACGCACCGGGGGCCACCCACAGCCATCCCAAATCCTTTCCTCCTCCTCTCAAAACTCCCATTTCTGAAAGGGCTGCCCCCACTAGCTGTGAGCAAAGGTAGGAAGGGCTGAGCGCCGTCTTCTCGCTCGTGCCCGAGGAGAAAGTCGGCAACTTGGTTGTTTCCCCAATGGCGTTGGCGGTAGCACTCCTTCTCTGCCCCTCTCCGTTGCCCGCCGCGTTTGCACACAAAACCACCTCCTCCTCCTTCTTGGCAACGGCGAAGGCAGGACCCTGCCCCCGCGTGCCTTCTAACCCCGCGCGGCCGCCTCGGGCTACATCGCCGCGTTCGCCGCGGCCGCTGTCGGTGCTCTCACGAAGCATGGTTGGCTGCACTGCCGGCGAGCTAGGCGGAGGAGGCGTGCGCTTCGTCCGTGAACGGTCTCCCTTAGGTCCGCTCGGGGTGCAAGGGAGGACGATGCCGTAGGTCTTGAGAGAGTCGGGAGTCGGCACGTACAGCAGTGTGAGGTTCGAGAGACAAAACATGAAACGACCCAAAGAAGCGGATCGGGGGTAAACAAAACTACAGCCGGACAATCGAAGTGATACAACCGACAAATGCAGACTCCCACACACATCTCTCGTGTGTGCACACCTCAAATATTCACCGCTTGTCCCTAAACAATGTGCGGGTAATCTGATGCTGCTCCCACCTTTCCTTCCACCTGCCGCGAAAACACTTCAAGCCGCGCCCTCGACTCTGCGGGGCGGGGACATCGTAGCCTCCGAAACGCCACCGTGCTGGCGAAACCCTGGTCGTGGTACGCCCTCACGCGCTCCACCAGGGGGTAAAGGTGAACTCCCCCGTGGGTGGACTCTAGGAGTTCCAATCGCGCACTCGGCCCTCCGCAAACTACCTGCGGAAGTTTGACTCGAGGTAAGTGGGCTGCGCCGGAAAGTAAGGTGACATCAGATCAGGGGAATAGAGTAACGCTGGGGGCTGCGTGTCGTCAAAGACTCTACACACTCACCAAGCAGAATACCGACAGCCTTGCAGTCCGAGAATGTTAACAACAAAAAGCTTTTATGAATATGGCTTGCACTTCTCGTCAAGCCTGGATTACGGGTGAGGTGTAACCTGTACAGGAGGCGCGTTGATAACGGGCAAGAGTAGTGTGTGCTGCACGTACGGGGAACAAGTGCTTACCGTATATGACACAAGATAACACACCCCCTTGACCAATTTTCGAAGCTCGATTTCTCAACTGCAGGAACAGTCACAGCGCCGAAAACGGCGGCGTTGAAACCATCTCGTCGAGAGCTTTTCGAACATGTATCGTTTCGTTTATGCATCCTCTTCATCGTAGAGTAATCGAGCTTTGAAAATCGGCCCAGGGGGTGTGTTATCTTCTGTCATATACGGTACACTTGGTTCACCAACAACAACGACGGCGGAACGACCACGACAAAAAGGGCGGGCACGACAACCCACGGGAGGGATGGGAACGACATAACGAAATTGCTGTCTCACTGTTGTTGCACCATATCACGAAGACAGCGACAACGCACACATGAAAATCGCACGCAATCAACGTGCAACACGACCAACTACCCACCACTCCCACGTGATCCCACTGCGTTCTCAGCACCCAGCGCTGCAGCCGGCTGAGCATCCCCCGGCACCGAAACAAAACTACGTCCCCGCCATGCGCCTCCTGCTCTAGCGCGTTAACCCTTTCCACCTTCCGCACCACTTCCTCTTCCTGGCCCGCTGCTGCCCGTGGCTCTCCCTCTCTCCCCATGTCTACCGCCGGGTGTTCACGGTACCGCTCGTTCTCCGTCGCTTGGCGCGCACTACCGAGGCCATCGTCGCTGTTACCGTGCGGCGGTGGCGGTGAATGGTACGCTGTCTCGTTCGCCGGCGGCAAGAAGCATGTTGCCTCTCCCTCCCCCGCTTCTCGCTGGCCCGTTGTGGCACCGCCATCGCACTCACCCACGCCTGCCGCCGCCGCCGCAGCAGCAGCAGCTCCGCTTTCGCCCGCCGCCGCCTGACCCCTTAGAGAGTCTGCCATCCTGCGACCGGTGCTGCCACGCGTAGTGTGGTTGCTTGACGTGGTTGGTGTCTCCGAGGCAATTGAGTGCGGTGCAACCGCGCGGAGCGTGGGTGATTTTCCCGCTCTCTGTCCTCCGCGACATTTGGGATTCGGCGGGAACATGAGGTCGTGCCTGTAGGCGTTGGGGCACGCAAAGTACGCGGAGGCCCGCGAGGGGAACGGTGGTCAAGCCCAGTCGGCCACGGCAAAAACGCCGTGCGAAGAGAGCAGAGTGTTCAAGACGAACAACAGAGTCGCTAACGCTACGTATTCATTGCTGGCTTATCCCGGCCTCTTCATCTCCGGATAGAGATTGATCATCGTGTATTTCTAGGTTGTGCACGGGACCGCAATATCAACCCCAAGACGCCCCCGCAGCGAAGCAGGCCGATATATGTAGCTGAAGATTTCGCGGTCAGCAAGGAAGACCAAGCTTCACCCTGGTGTTTCTTTTGCCCGAAATGGGTGATCCCTTCACCGCCCGTCCAATACAAGAGGCCGGGTGCTTCAAACATAATCAGTCCTTGTATGGTTTTGTGGGTCCTGCTGAATTTGCACTGATTTCCATTCGTGTACACCTGTTTGCGTGTGGTTAGCCCGTGACGACCTTGGAGGTGTCCGCGTCATCAGCTGGACCGTTATGGATGTTAGAAGGTACTGAGAGGAGACTGCACGTATTTTTTAATGCGAAGACAACAGCAACAACAAGAGCTAAAAGGACGTTTCACCTCGATGACGACACCAGGCCCAAAAAAGAAAGCACCGCGCGGTTGGCCAACGCCTCGGGAATCGACAGGAGCTCCTGCAGGTATCTTTCCAGCTGATGTCGCCGAAGCCGCTCCATCTTTACGGGGAACAGTCTCAGCATCCCGAACGTGCGCATCGGAGGCGCAGGCAACCTGCGAGATCAAAGGGTTCTCGCAGTCGTTGACCGTAGCATCAGCAACCAGTGTTTTATCACATCACGGGATTCACATCCTGGGGCGACGAGTACCAGGTGCTTCACGCGCCGGTGTGAAAACTCTCCAAAAACGACAGGCGATTGGTTCGCCGCGAAACAAACCAACAAGCCACAGCCTTCATACGAGCTTGTGCCTACTGAGCACTCTCGGCAAAAAAAAAACGCACGTGGATGGAGCGATTGGAGGAGCGAGATGCGTTACAACCAAGAACCTTGACACAGGCACAACCAGTTGTGCAGACCATCACCCACCACGGCGGTGGTCGGTTGTTAATTGGTCCAAAAGAGTACCATTTGTCGCCTTCCAATTTGAAGGAAAAGTGCCTCAGGATGAAAGGCGGAGACGAAAACAATTAGCCCTGTGCTTACCTTCCTCCTGTGTAACTGCGGCTGATGCGTCAAATATCCGAAGTATACCGCAAGGGTGTGGGATAGACTGGCGTCTAGAACAGATGGGATGAACACAGACACGAAAAGTCCACATGAACCGTCGTAATTTAGCAACGTAAAAGGTATATTATTCCTCAGTCGTACAGAGACCTCATCTCTACGCCCTCCTCCTCCCCCCAAAAATGATCCTACAAAAAGCGAAACCCACCTGTCCTCCGGAATCCTGTCCCCTTCTCCTCCGCGCGCCCCCCTGCCGGACAAGGCCGCATGCAAAGCCACAAACTCGGAGAACCGTTTCTGAAGGTACCACACTAGAGAGGCGTTGTTGGCGACCGCAAGGTGATAGGCCCTGTAGCCCCTGCCGAACGAGTCTGTCTCCCAGCTAGACCCGCACACCCCGCAGCAGAGGGGGGGCAGGGGCGCGCGGCCGGACGGCATGGCCCTCAGGGTCACGGCAGCTGGGAAAGCAGGATATAGTTGGGGGTGATCATTGCGGGGCCCCTTCCCTGTCGTCGGCGTACCTCCGGTCGCCCCGTGTGATGTCAACGCGGCTCCATGTGCAGAACGCCGTGTTTCGGCGGCAGTAGAGCTCTCCGCGTCATCAGCAGGAGGAGCAGCCGACGCCGCCCATTGGCTACTCAGGGCGGACAGGAGGGGTGCTGATTCATCCGTCACCCAGAGCTCGCCGCCACGACCTTGAGCACCGTCGCGACCAGCGAAACCATGTTCCACGCTGCCAGCACGAGGAGTTGGCGAGGGCTCTCGGCTCGTCCTTCGTTGGTCTTCTTCTTCTTCGCCCACCCCAGGGGCTTGGGCGTGTTGCGGGCTACTGCCGTCGCCATCACCGCTTCTACCACCCGCCTCCTTCGCCGCTTCCCTCCCCTCTACCCCCGTCCCGGCCCTTCTGGAGGCATCGTCGGTCTTCGGACCAACTCCCACGCCAGCCCCATAGCTACCTGTTGTCGTTTCTGCTGCTGCTACAACCAAGTCATCGGCATCTAAGCCCTTTGCACTTCCGCCACTATCACTGCCACTGTCACTATTGCTGGTGCTGCCGCTGCTGGTGCCGCCACTAAGACGACTTCCAGTTCTACCATCACGACTTGCGTCGCCCCCCGTGGCGTCCGGCACAGCGAGGAACAGGAAGGCACCGGGACGAAGCCCTTTCCCGCAAAAGTGCAGCACGTCGCTGCACAACCGGAGCCGGGCGTCGTACGCCACGGCGGTAGCGGTCGTCCCGAGACCATCCCCTGGAACGTTCCCAGCAACGGTTCCCGACCCGGCCGCCGCTTCGTTCTCTCCCGCACGAAGCTCGTGGAGCGATGAATTCGGAACATGCCTACGGTTCAACTCGGCTCCAACCTCATCCGAACTCGCCGCTTCCGGGAACCGGCCAGTCACGATCCGCGGTTGACTGTGGAGGCGTTTGCCACGAAGGGTACCTTATAGTCGGGGGGGGGGGGGCATACGCATTCGGTGTTAAACGAAAGCAATGACAAGTGCGCGGCAGGCGCAAGGAGGGTGCGAGAGAGGCGGGCGGGTGAACACATATATTGCTGCCAGTAAGTGACCCGAGCGAGGTTGAGGTGAATTCGGATCAACCTTGGCCCAGGTCACCAACTGAGATGCATTGCTCTCAACCGAAGATGCAAAACTACAATGGATGGTTGACAGAAACTCCAAAAAGCAAAGGTATCCTCACCGTTGTTTGGCCACGTAGCAGCCCCAGCGGCAGTAGGGACACCACCATGGGCTTCGCTCCCCCCCACCGCCGTAGTACCGCGCCTGTCGACCAAACTATCGGAGGCTCCTGTTGATGGGCGGGGATCACTTGCCAACGCGCCAGCCTGCTCTCCCTGGTCAAAGCTCGCCCCCGCTCCTTCCGGCCTCGTTGCTGCTGCGTGGCTTTCTGCATCCCCAACCAGGGCGGAGGCGATCCGGTGCGCCTCTCGCTTGATGTCATTGGCTGACGACCGCCACAGGGTGCGCTCGTCGAACCACAGTTCAATGTAACTGGGCGGGTATGGAACAGAGTGTAGACGTCGGGTGGGATTGCTTGGTCAAAGTTTGCTGTACTTGGTGATTTTTCAGGTTGACTCTTTGCGGAGTAACGCCCATCTCAGAGGAACAAAAAGTGCGGTGAAACTGATCAAGATGAGGGATGAGAGCCAAATCGGCGTCAAGTTAACTGTAGCAGTACTTCTTGAACTGCTGTGTTGTTGCGCCCACAAAGCGCTACATATGTCCTGCCCATCCCAACATGGGTGAAAAGACGGGGAATTGAGTTCCACGAGGGCGGTGCTGCTGTGTTCTGTGGCATCATGACTGCTTGCTTTCAACTATCGGAACGTCAAGCGTGTTTGTTTGCGCGCAAGCAGAAACCGTCGAGACCAGTGAATCTGAGTAAGTCATGCACGAGACAATCAGGGTTATCATGGTTGATGTTGCATAGCAGCAGTTGGTACGGGCCTGCTGACGGTAGGTACAGTAGTGACAGCGGTTTCCGGTACGGTAGATCACGTGAAACGTGCAGCGGTTCACCCGTCACCTGTAACTGTCGAAGATGACCCGTACTCTGCCGAGGTGATGACGCCGCGCACATGAATTTGGATGCACGTTTGTTGCCAGGGAATGGAGATGATTGTGCCTTCCGTTCTCCATGGTCATTCCATTGGTCTTTGTAGTGCGCCGGTGTGCAGCAAGGAGCGTGCAGCAGTGGGCTTGGGTTGCCAACGAGGGGCAGACGCCGGATGACAGGTCGACCCCAACGCCAACTTTGGAGTTCCATCTTCCCACGCGGCGGAATTCCCCTCGACTCTCACCAGCTGTCACCCTACGCCTTCACTGTAGTTTTACTGAAGGTGTAATTTCTCGGGCGCCTGGTGTGTTTCATCTTCGGTAAATCTCATTTTTTTCGAAGCGACGTGAAGTTCTTGACGTTTGTAGTCCGCATCCCACGTAAAACAAACATGATGTGCTGACAGAACCAAATCATTTGTACTTTTAGCGTGATCTACGGAGTACTTCGCCGAATTTTTATCAATATTCCTAGAGCGTTTGGCGTCGAGGAGGCTTCACACTAAACGCCCCCCCCAGAAAGATCAGTGATTTGGTGTCGAGAAAAGCGTGCAAAATGAAGCATCACTCCGCCGGGGGCATGCGTGTGGCAACTCCCCCCGCGGTGTGTTGAACACTGGTCTGGTGTAGTCTACAAAGGTAGCCAAGACTTCTTCCTTGGTGACCACCCCACCATCCATCGCCAATCTGTGCTGGCGCCTTAAGGACAGGCAAGCCGTCGAAATAAGCCACGCAATTGTTGTGGAAAAAAATCTCCATGACTGTATGAATCGCATCGCGCTGCTATAGCTTCATCTAGTATGGTGCAGCGTGCGGTGAATGTGTGTAGCAGCCTCGGAGGAAACCCACCGTCCGGTCGACGGGTCTAAGACAACAAAAAAGGAAGCCACAAAACCACAACACACAAGACAACCAAACGGGCTAAGACGACAAACAATAAAAAATAATTCAGAGATAATATACATGAAGACTGATGCTTTTGACACCCATCGGTTGGAAGGAGACAAAGTACTGCACTACATGTACTACATTACATGGTGCCGCAATCTGCATCAACCCCCCCCCCCCCCCCCCCCC